AAGGTCCATTCTTGTACAAATCTTTGTGCATTGGGCCTCTAGTACCTCAATAAACCTGACTTGAAATAAAAGAACTATATTGCTACCAAAAAGAATTTTACATAGGCATTGAAGAATAAAATAGACACTGAATACATTTTGGAACTGGAATATAATATCTAAGAATCTTCTCAAAGGAATAAGGAAACAATAAATAAAATAAAATATTTAAAGATTGAAAGATATGGAATACAGAAGCAAAAATAACATTATCAATATTATAAAAGCTCCAGCAGGAAGAAAACATTTGAAGAAAAAAAAAAAGGCTAAACATTATCCTGAATGTAAGAGGAAGAAAAAAGTAAAGACTCCAAGAAAAATGTCAAAGAGAATACCAATCTAGATGCATAAATGAAAAGAAAAAAAAATGCACACCTAGACACATTATAGGAAAAATCAGTCACATTATAGATAAAAATAAAATACTAAAAGATTACAGGACTACTCTGTAAATGATCACTCTATAGAAGAGGAGTGAATTTTATGTTGACAAAATACTTCACAAGAATGTTACTAAAGTAAAAGAGCCTGGGGTAAAAAGATCTTCTGAAGACAGAAGATCTATATTTTATGTCCAGCAAAACTATAATTTAAATGAATAGAAAGGAGGGGGCTTTTTAAGGGATAGAGGTTATAAAATCAACACAACCAGACCTCATTGAATACGATTTTCTACAAAATTCCAAAAAGAAAAAAGTAAACCATGATTAAGCTATAAATTTGTAAGAAATAAGGATCTAAATTAAAAATAAGTATTTAAATAAAGAAGGGATTAATGAAAACATAAGCATAATAATTCAAATGTATTGAGTTCAAAACATATTAACAAATTTTTCTGTGTGAGTATGTAACCTGATTAAAAAAAAAATGTGAAAAAGTGAAAGTGCTATAATACTTACCAAATTGGGGGGGAAATATATGTAAGCTTTAAAATGATAGAAAAATAAACATAATTATTGTCCTTAGCAATTTATGTGTAACTATAAAAACTAACAAAAATATAAAGTAAAAATTTCAAAAAGTTTCAAACCAGTATATGTCAAAATATCCAAAGGAAACAGGAAAGGCAAAAAAAGAAAATATTTTAAGTAGAAAATATGAAATAAGATAGCAGAAATTAGTATTTATAGTAATTATAAATGGCTTAAAGTCTCAGATAAAAAGAATCTCAGGTTAAATACAAAAGTGATATCCAGAAATGTTGTCCTAAAGAAAATAAAACTAAAGGGTTTATAGAAAGATAAAAATAAAGTTTTAAAGTAATATATAAATAAAGGAATAAAAATTTAACAAAACATCAATTTAAAATTACATATATAAGGTCACTATTTTGTACTGGACTAAAAACTGAACCTTAGGTTCAAAAGGATTATAAATGCTAGTAAAAGTTATTTTTTTAAAAATGAGAATGAATACCAACTCATAAGAAACAGCAATACAGTTTCAAAATATATGTCAAATTTAATAAAATCTTCTTTAGGTTTAGCTTTCTCTGCTCTGGCAGCAAGCACAGCAATTACATTCTCTTCAATAGTCTCTTCTTGTAGCATCATGATACCATACTGCTGATTTTTTTTTATACAATGGGTTTGTTCTTCTTTGCAGGTTCCCTCTCCACCTTCTTTATTGCACCTGCAATGTTTTGTTCCATGAATCTCTGTACAGGGAGCTCACAACATCCATGTGCTGGTCATCCCCAAATCTCACCTACTACCACCAGACACATAAGTTTAAGTTCCTCTGGAAACATACCTCAAAGTCATCTCAAAAACAAACATCAACTTTCTTTCCTCCACCACACAGTGCCTCCTTCACAGTCATTTATGCTCAAGGAAGAGACCTGGTGCTCACTCATGGCTCTTCTCTCCTTCACATTCACATCCAACCTGCAGCAAGTCTGAAATCTCTCACTCATACACACATCCTGCTCTCTGGCAATGAGCCAGCCCTATCCAGGTAACTTCATTGACTGCCTCTCTGACCTCAGTTGCCACCTCACAGCACCCACTGTGATTTTTGTCAATGGTTTCATATTACTTCCCCCAGAGTTTTATGTCTTCCCATTTTCCTTGTAACCCAAACCTCATGCCATGGCATATAGGTATCTTCACTGTCCCTAGCCAACCTCCTCAATCTCATTTTACACAGTTCACCCCGGCTCACGAGGCGACAATCACACTTGTCTTCATCTTCACACACTAAGCGCTTTCCCAGCTCAGGAAATTTGCATATTCTCTGCCTGAAAACTATTCTCCCTGAACTTTCCTGCTTGTCTTTTCCCCACCTTTTGTCTCAGCTTGAATTCTACTTTATGATTACTACATCCAAAGTATGCCCTGCTAGGTTACTATGCCTTGTTCAGCATTATCTCCCTAATGCCTCACAGTGCCATGCCCATAGTAGGCACTTAATAAATATTTGTTGAATAAAATAATTGCCTTAATAATAGTGGTGCAAAATAGCATTTTAAAACACTATAAGCATTAAATATTTGGTAAATAAATCCATTATTAAGATGTTTATTCACATATTACTATTTAAATCATACTTCCATTATAGTTAATTAAAATATACTTTAAAATTTACATAGTATTTCTTTGGCAAAGCAAACGTTTTATATTTTTAAATTAAAAGACAAAAAATATACAGCTAAACATTTAATAAAGACATAACTAACATCATTCATTCCTCTCTGCTGAAATATAATTTTTAATGATTACTAAATTTCTATGTCATTATTAATGGATAAAAGGCCTGGTGCATGACATTCATATACTTTGGGGGGAGGGGTCTCTTCAGCCCAGCCTGCAGGGGACATGAGCTCTCCTCTGACACGTCCCCTTTAGCAGTCTGGGAGCCCTTGGGGGATGTCCTACTAACCGGCCTAAGCCTCAAATGAATATCCTTAGCTGGACGCAGAGGTGGGAGATGATCCTGCCACCACCATTGTGCTCTTTAACTCTGAGCCCAGCTTGTGGCTTTGTGGCGCTTCCCCTGTGGGAGTGCACTGATCACCAGGGGACAGCTCCTGCATTGAGCATCTGTCCCCTGTTGGTCAGTGCGTGTATAGTGACTGGTCATTCTGCCATTCAGTCTATTTGCATATTACCTTTTTACTATCCTATCTAATAAAAGAGAAACATGTAAATTAACCATACCTCTGCTAAGCCTACAAGCCATGCCCACCAACCAATCAGGAGCAAGTATGCAAATTAACCCAACAAATATGGCCTGCCCAGGCCTGCCCTGGCCTCTGCTCAAGGATACAAAGTTTTCATTATAGAAGATAAATAAATCCCAACAAAAATGGCAGCAGCTACGAAACTGGAACCAGCCAGAGGCTTGGGTTGCCCCTGACAATGGAGGAAGCCAAGCTTTCTGCCCTGGCTGGGCCTGGCCTCTGCACAAGGCTACAAGTTTCAATTACAGAAGATAATAACTCCCAGATACCAGGGCCTCCATTTGGGTCACTGGGGGTATGGCTGGCCTGCAAATCACCACAGGCCCCTTGCCCAGGCTGCCCCACACCCAAAGGGAACCCACATTCTGATCCAGGACACACTTCAGGGCAAGCCAGCTGGTCCCCATCAGTGCACCAGGCCACTATCCTATTTAATAAGAGGGTAATGTGCAAATTGACTGTCACTCTAACACACAAGATGGCTGTCCCCATGTGGTCAAAGATGGCTGCCCCGATGCGGACACAAGATGGCCACCACAAGATGACCAGTAGGGGGAGGGCAGTTGGGAGGGACCAGGCCTCCAAGGGAGGGCAGTTGTGGGTGATCAGGCCAGGAGGGCAGTTGTGGGCGATCAGGCCAGGAGTTGGGAAGTGGTTAAGAGGTGATCAGGCTGGCAGGCAGAAGTGGTTAGGGGCAATCAGGAAGGCAGGCAGATGGGCAGTTGGGAGCCAGCCGTCCTGGATTGTGAGAGGGGTGTCTGATTGCCCATTTAGGTCTGATGATGGGATCTCAGGGTGCAGGCTGGGATGAGGGACATCCTTCTCTCTTGCATGAATTTTGTGCACTATTTGTCTATAATGTTCCAATTGATAATTAGAATTACTTTTCTAATTATAAGCAATTTCTACATTTAAAACCTACTTTATACACACAGTTTCCAAATTTTAAAAAGACCATTCAAAAAGTATACTAATTTCAAGATAGAATATAAGGTTGACAAAGAAAACATAACAATTATCAATAAAGGAAAAACACAACCATTTTAAAATTTGGGTGAGTAGGTCTGTATTAAGCATTCAAAAACTTTTGGGTAAAATGTAGCATTTTATTCCAACAAATAAAATTGGCTACAATTATAAGAAGAAAATAGTTAATTATGTAAACTCAACAATTAATGCTTTAGTAGTGCCATAAGATTCTAAAATACCCATGCTTCTTTCCCTCTGAGTCAACGTACAATGAAATAAACTTCAAAGGAAACGACATTCCAGAAATAATACTTGTGTTAAAGCTCTTAGACTAATGCTACTTTAGTCTACTTCATTTTCCACTTCTATACTTCTAAGTGGCTATGAATTACTTAGTTACTAAAGGTAGGGTTGGAAATGAGATTAGGCAACAAATTTTATATGCAGTTACTTCCATATAGCTCCCGCAAATGCCAACAATAACAGAGTCTAATGTGTTGGTTTGAACTTAGCCCACACATAGTTAAAAACAGATTTTACTTTGCAACCCTATACACACATACCTGTATATGTAAACAAATTGAAATAAATATCAATAATACCTACACTACTTAGAATAGAGTCTGATATTTTACATTCTTACTATTCTGTTTTTAAAATGCTATTTACTAACAAAACAAACAAACAAAAACGCTGGTTCTATCCATTAAAATAACTTCCCAATTCACTCTAGGGCTTTGGCCTGAAGCTTAAAAAATCATTGTTATAGAAACTTTCATGGTTTAATAAATTATATTAAACACATACATACTTTGGTAGTGTCAGAACCCAACAATTTCTGTAGAGAACTTGAAGGAGAACCAGAAGAATGCTGGAAAATAAAAAGGACAAGCCTATGATGCATATACTCAAGCAGAGGTAAGTGCAGAGAAGCAAAGCAAATGTTTGAATTGCACATTCTAGTCTAAGGCATTACCATAGACAAGGAATCCTGTAAGACCTTATCAATGGTAGCACAGAGCTCTTCAGTTTGCTGCCTGAGCTGTGCAGGGAAACAAAACTGGAAGAATTGAAACCAGGTACTGAGTTAGCAACGAGTTTTGGGATTGTACTTCAAAAGCAGGAGTAATATGAAGTCATTACCTCCAGTGGTGGGTCCAATGTGTTGTCCTTAGAGACGTTTTCAGTTTTGGCCGGTTCATCTAGTGCCTAGTGGTAAATGAAATAGTTCTTATGAGGCTTTTAGTCAAATATAGTTGTCATAGAAAAGTCTTTTCAAAGAAATCTCTGAATATCTCAATATTTCCAAGAAATAAACCTTCAAATAATTTGATGAGCTCTCCTCTGACATGTTTTCTCTTGTTGAATCAAAATATCTACACTAATAAAAGAGTAACATGCTAATTTAACATACCTTCATAATGCCCACCAGCCATTCAGGCGTATGCAAATTAACTTAACAAAGATGGTAGGTTAATATGCATACGCAGGTGCAGGGCGACTATACAGGTGTTCCACGCCACCCCAGCCACTCTGGGCCTCTGGGCAGTGTGGGAAGGTGGAAAGACAGTTCTGGCTAGAGAGAAGGCAGTGCCAGCAGCCAAGGTAAAGAAGGACCATCCTGCATTGTGCCTCTAGTCTACTTTAAGATGTTGGGATAAATAAAGGAGATGAGTCCAGCAGGTGTGGTTTAGTGGTTGAGCATTGGCCTATATACCAGGAGGTCACAGTTCAATTCCCAGCCAGGGCACATGCCCAGGTTGTGGCCTTGATTCCAATTGTCAAGCATGCAGGAGACAGCCAATCAATGATTCTCTCTCATCATGAATGTCTCTATCTCTCCATTTCCCTTCCTCTCTGAAATCAATAAAAATTGTATATTTAAAAAAAATGTATATTTAAAAAAAAGAAATTGTATATTTAAATTGTATATTTTAAAAATTTGTATATTTTAAAAATTGTATATTAAAAAAAGGGCTGAATTTTTAAACATACAAAGTAGAACTTGGACACTTTATACATCCAGATGAGCCTTGTTCCCTTCAAAGCAGTTACCTTGAGAAGCTGCCCACAAAAATAACAATGATGTAGGAATTTCTCAAAATGTACAAAAACTATTCTTGAGAAAATGCTTGAGAACCAGTTTACAAGAAACATGCACACAGAATTTTAAAATTTAGCCTCGTTTGTAATTATTTATATAACAAAAAGTCTTGGCTACTTTATTCATCCAACTTCGCCTCAAATGACATTTAACTATTTTCAAAATGTAACAGCTACTATAAGGTTGTTTTGTGCAATCCTTCTAATTTTGTGTAAGTTTAATGTACACTTCTGGAACTTGCTTTGTTTTTTGTTATTATTTTAACCAGTTTCTCAAATTATAATTGATATACAAAAACCTGCATTTAATGTACACAATTGATGAATTTGGAAATAAATATACATCCATAAACCATCTCCATAATTTAGGCCATAAACATATCCATCACCATTCAAAATTCCTTCCTACCTTATTTCTTTTTCCATGTAGTTATGTATTCAATAATTCATTTACACATGGGATTCCACTGTATACATATTCCACACAAAAATGGATATTTTCTTCTGTTATTGGATATTTGAAGTGTCCCCAATATTAATGTTATAAACTGTAACAACTATCATCCAAGAACTGGTGTTGCCTCAGAAGTGGGGGTAGTCTTATACAGCGAATTATAGGCCTAAACCTATGTTTTAACTGTAAAAATTAGGGGGTCGTCTTATACACCAGAAAATACGGTAAATGAAATTAATTAATGAATCATTAAAAAAAAAGTAGTTTTAATACTCCTTAATAAAATGTTCTAGAGAAGTAGTTTAAATTCTTTAAATATTTAAACTAACAAATAAATAATTTCTTTCCCCATATTTCAATTAAATATGTTCAAAGATCTGAGCAAGTAATCAGTCTTGATTTAATGATAGAATTTTTTTTTTCCAGATAAAACCAATAAAGGCTAATATCCTGGTTACTTTGTGTAAACTTACTATAGGCAAACACAACTTTCATTCAGGCTATTTAAAATGCTGACATTTACTCAAAGAACAAAAATAAATCTATGCAGAATGATTGGAAAATTCAGGAAGATAACGGGTATTGGGTCATTAATGCGCTGAAACTTTGAAATGAGGACAATACTAAGACTGCATTAAAATTTGGGAGAGTGTTATTTTGAATTTAAATAGCTTTGAAATTTAGTAGAATTGATTTTTTTTATTGACAATGGTTTATCAAAGAACATTTTGATCCACTCTTTCCAGCAGCCATAAAAAGTAGTTTCTTTTCCTATAGTAAAAAAAGTATTAAAGTTAAATATATTAAATCTCTATTAACAGGAAATATGACCATTGATTGCTTTTTCACAACTTAGCCAGCAGGATTGTATTGATGTTTCTTATATTTATTCATTTTGAGTGAAGTTCTCTCAGATATTCTCCAATAACATATTTTTATTAAAAACATATATTTGTCTACCAAATTGGACTATAGCCAAGTGAGGCATAATTGGGATATACTTTGAATTCTATTTCCAAAGATTCTTAATTAATATGTTATTCAAAATATTTTCATTAAAAGAAGTGATATTTTGCTTGAGACAGCCAACTTTGTGGCCCTGTTTTTGTTTGTTTGTTTGTTTTGTTTTGTTTTGTTTTTTAAAAAGACCTATTATAACTGACTTTTAAAATAAAATAGCTTGAGATAAATACTACATTATCATTAATAACTAAGAATTATGAGCAAGCTTTGTAAGTCCAAGTCCTTATAGGAATACTAGCAGATGCAAAAAAAAAAACCCCTGAAATTGGTGTCCCCCCAGCAAAGAGAGCATCTCTGATGGAATTACAAACAATTTCTCATCAGAAATATAAAATCAGTCTAATCTACTACTCTTTTTCAAAATAGGACTAAGTTCTAAAAAATATCTAAAGATAGAATGTGTTAGCTGCACTCTCAATAGAGTTAGAAACTTAACTGCTTTCAAAGGAAGAATAATCTAAAACGGTTTATGAAACTTTGTGATGCCTACTCTAATTGGATTGGATTTCAAAAAGTTCATGGACAAGTTACTATATTTTAGTAAGGATCAAATTAACCATCTTCCATCAATGATTCATGTTCAGCCTAAATGCTCATATACTTTGTTAATCTGCCCAGCCATTTGGTGGAATAAATCTTCTGAGAGATACAAAAGCTTTGCTTTCTTTTCTTTTCTTTTTTTAAATTTAACTTAATTTTATTATTATAATTGTTATTGTCATTAAACAAAACCACCTATAGATTGAAGATATTCTTGGAAAGTAAATCTCACTTAGATTATCTATCGATAGTTGGAGACTGAGGTCTGAATAGCATTCAAATCTGAAGAAAAGAGAAATATATCCAAAGTGGCTTCTGGATATATAAAAGTACAACTTCTTTAAAGACCTGGGAATATTTCTCACTAGATTATTATTATATGATTGATTTAACATTTTCAAGAATTTGTGAAATCTACTTGGTGTTTTTAATCCTAATATCTTTGAAGGTTTAAATGTCTGTCCCTCCCACACAGAGGAAAATGAATTTTTGCAAACCATTACAAGACTGTTCCAAATCCATTCATTAAGGCTCAGTGGTCGAAGAATCCATACTTTCCCTTCATTTATTTAATCAAGGGTGTCAGAAAGGTTTTTCCTATTTCCAGCTGGCACCTCCTCCACTGTAATTCACCAGTCACTCAAAGAATTGGGCTGTTTTGAGTCACTAGTGTCTTTGAAGAGCTAAATCATTTCCAGTTTCCTTTCATTGGTCTTCTTTTTAAAAGATATTTTTTCCCCACTAATTTGGTGAGAATCTAAATATATTTTAGCAAATAATGAAAAAAAAAAGGTGTTGTAGACAGGGATCGCAAATCATCATCTCTTCCTCAATATTTCACTTTAGCTAGTTGATGTCGCCATTGTGTGATGAGCAGGGAAAGACTGGGGGATAATCAGGTCCACTTGAGGTCCAATTGAGCAAATTACTAGCCGCTGCTTCAAGGTATCTATTTGGCATCTGTGATCATCAAACTCTTCACGGAGCTCTGAGTATAATTAAGTACTCAGCTTAGTGTCTGATACACGATAGCCGTTACTGCTATGGCAGCCATTGTGACTGTACTTTCTAATTGTTAAAAGGCGCCAAGTCTAAAACCAACTCTTCCTTTATAGAAGAAGGTCCCTTATATCTTTTCCATAGAAGTAGAATTGAGGAAGCTATTCTACCCTAAAGAAAGATTCTTAATTGACATCATCCCAATTGTCATATACCAGACCCCTTTATTTTTATAATACTCTGAACAAAAGTTTGTCTTAAAATCCTGTGGAATACAATTGGATATTTTAGAGACATACTCAGCTATAGACTGAATTAATTGATTCAATAAACCTTAAAGCAAATATATATATATATATATATATATATATATATATATATATATATATTCTTTCAAATAGTTTATGATTAAAAAATAAAACAAGCAATATGCATAATTAAATATCATTTATTAAGCATTTTTAACAAGCTTTGTGCATGGTAGACAACTGCCTAAGAAGAACCAATCAGTTTAGAATTTGGTACTGGCACTTCTCCATTGCTAAGGAAGTTGGGAACATATTCACTCTTTATACTATCTAAATCAAGACATTTCTCTCTAGTATAGGTCTTATGCTAAGTTAGCAACCAGATTTTGTTAAATTTTTCAGACACACAGAGATCTTAAAATAGTCTTATCCAAAGACATATGTTTAAGCACATTGGAGTTTACCAACTCATGTCTTAAAAAATTAAACTGGCAACTTAAAATAAAATGATTTGACAGCTGATGAGATATTTCAAATCTTTTAAGTGTTTTTTTTGTATAGTCTTCAAAGTGGTTGTTTATTTTCCTTCCACCCAAAATAAATTTTATCCCAGAAGTTTTGTTTGAATAATACTGTAATTTATATATGCTATTTATAAAATTGAAGTCCTCTAGAATTTTTCTTTCAAACATGTGTAGCTAACGTATTAAAAGTATCTTTAAAATGTCATTTGTAGGATAGTAATGTCATTTGTTGTAAAACTGTAGTGATCATAGCCTTGATTTTATCCCAAAGAATACTTTCGAGAAAAAGAACAAAGAATTCAAATTATTTTTCAAGAAGAAATTTTATACTATTATTGAAAAATATTAATTACTTGAGAGACAATAAAGATCCATATTATATGATTTCATGGAAATTTCCTATCTTCATCTTTCCTTTCCTGAACTCAAATGCACAGTGAAAATAATAATCCATTTATTGAGAATATCAATATGTACTCTGCAGTTTAATTTTAACTTTTTACCCATTGCTATCAAACTCAGATGATACAGAGAAAGCTTAATCAATAAGAGACACTTTTAGCATTCTCTGAGAGCAGTACACAAATAGAGACTAAAAAATAATGCCCACATCAAAATTATTTTCTCTACAGAGCTCAGTATATTGTTGAACATATTGTAATAAGGTCTGTGGACAGTTGCAAATGCAAAGTAATCTGATTACTTTGTTCCTGCTTTATAATCACCTGTATTTCATCCTCATCTCAAGCTTGTATTAATAAATGATTATTAGCAGCAGATTAACCCAAAGACCCTGAAGAAAACACATTAAAAGATGATGCTTACAATTACCCCTTCCTATAAAGCTTTAGTTAAAACAAGCTAAAAATGCTTTCCTCCTAAATGTACATAGGGGGGAAAAAGATAGAATACTGAATATGCTATAAATTTCAGTTTTGGTGCAGAAAATAAATTATAGAACAGAAGTATCAGAAACCTCATATCCCCTGCCAACCAAATGTACTCTTTTGAAAATTATGTGCTTCATCTAGGGGTGATTAAATCTGAAACCAATCCAGTGATTCAACAATGGATGGATGTCTCATGTTAAGGGATGCCTATGTTTGAATTTGGAGAAAATCTTGCTTTTAAAAATGGTGTTATTTTTAAGTGACTCTTGTCCCTTACTAATAATTCCTATACTATATTCTATAAACATAATGTTTAAAATGTCAACCATAAGTTTAATTTGACTTGGGGTGAGAATGAATTGTTGAACTAAGGCTTGAATAAATTGATAACCATCTCTTCAAGGCAATCTATAGTATAGATGCTAAGCAATTATTATAATGAGATTGCAGCATTACCCTACACTTTAAAGGTGTTGTTCTTTGTTATATTAAATGGATCTCAGAAAAGCTTCCATGATTTAAAATATTCCAAATGCTAATGCTTTCCAAAATAGATGAATTTCTGATGATTATAGTTTTAATTTTCTCACCCAATTCAGAAATAAAATCCTGTGAATTAATCATTATAGGATAAGTTCTATTATATAAGCCAGCAATTTTCTACCTTTTTCATCTCATTGTACACATACACTAATTACTAAAATTCTGTGACACACCAATCAATACATTTTTGGCCCATATAAAAAAAGAAAAAGGTATCATTTTGATTCGTTCACAATGGATGGCTATTGTTGTGTTGGCTATTATTATATTTGACAATCTAAGGGAAAAGAGGTCAGTGCTCCTGACTACATAGTCAGATGATATTGCATGTTTTAAAAATTATTATGGCATGCCAGTTGAAAATTTCTGGTATAAACCAATAGGTAAAAAGGTCTAAATTACCAGTTTTATTTTTTTAAAACTACAACTATGAAAAGAGCAACACAATATTATTCAAGAAATATTAATGGAAATAAGCTCTCTTGTTATAAGACTTTTGCTGTTTAAAAATTCTTACAAAGTAAAGTTTCTTATTGAGGAGCACATACTATGGAAAAGCCAGAAAAAATATGTGAAATTATACAAAGGCTCTAAAGCAAAAACAAACATCATATCATATCATGAGATCTTTGAGCAATTCATGATCCAAAAATATTTATGGTCCAAAAATAATTTACTTAGCCACGAAATAATTACCCACATTATTGCTTGTATAATAATAAATCCTCTCTAGAATAATATTTTAAATTAGGCATCATGACATTTACATTCTGGTATACTAACAACAAAATAATAAATTTCCTAAAAATTATGTTTTATTCAAAATTGAAACACAAAAATTCTTCCATATGAAATTGTATTAGATTAAACATATAGTGATACCTCCATACACATTGATGAAATAGGTCTGTAATAAAATTAGAAATTAAGTCAATGGTTCTTCACTTTTAATGATTAATCCTATGTAATAAAAACCTAATATGCTAAGTGTCCAGTCATCCAGTCATCCATTCAAACCAATCAAAGCATAATATTCTAATAATATGCTAAGGTTGCTCAACCACTCACTATGACATGCACTGACCACCAAGGGGCAGATGCTCCAACTGGTAGCTTGCTGCTGAGGTCCAGCTGATCAGGACTGAGCAAGATGGGCCAGACATGCCATGAAGCCCTCCCATGGTCCCTCCCCATCTGGACAACCTCTCGCATCTCTCCCTGGCCCTGATCATGTACCAGTGGGGTCCCTCAGCATGGCCTGCACCCTCTCGCAATCTGGTACCCCTTGAGGGATGTTAGAGAGCCGGTTTCAGCTTAAACCCACAGATTGGGCCGAGGAACCCCACTGATGCATAAATTTGTGCACTGGGCCTTTAGTAAATTATAATCTCTAAAATCCATTTAATTGGAAGCAAAGAGAGCTGGTAGACAGAAATTTTGGAACTAATAATGCCATCCAACTTTATCTTACAAAAATTTTTCAAGAAGAATTAACTATTGTTTTTCTAACTAAAGTATTCATAAAATAGAAGCACTCAGATACAGGAAAATATGACAGGTTAGGTGATAAAAGGACACCATGACCCATCAGGTCTCTAATTTTTCCTGCCTGGATGCTTCAGGGGGAGAGTTTCTCCCATTTCTGTGAAAGCAGGCACTACTGACCAGATTTCAGAAATGTCCCTCTGAAATGGGCAGAGGGTCTGTGCTGAGAAACACTGCTATTATGATTCAACATAACAATAGGCCATTGGAATAATGGGCAATCATCAAAATAAATATGAAATGAACAATTTCATAGATTTCATAATTGATTCCACTTTGATTCTGATATGTTCCTCTATTTGGCCTTTATTTGAGCATCTATAATGTGCTTATTGAACAAGAGGCTATAATTTAAGTTACCTGCTGAAGTAGAATCCTATAATTTTATAATTAATGACTGAATGGCAAAGCAAAAGTGTCCTCAAGTCACCCAAAGCATGAGTCACTTGAAGTGATCTCAATCTTCCCTCTCATTTATGGAGGTAGGATCAGTAGCCAGCAGGAATGTATAAAGAGGTTTAGCTCATGATGGTATCTAAGGAGCTAATCTAGATACTCAGCTAACACATATCTACACTGTGCAAGCCACTTTAAGTCACCAAGTTTTGACCAAGCTGGCCAGTTTTACATGTAACCCTATTTTGCCTCTACTCTTTTGATCATTGCAAATAGAGGTGGAAGCTCTTGAATATCACAACAATCTAAAATTCCAAAGGACAGGATCCTTCCAATTTAAATCAAGTTTCCCAGGGCTACTTGACATTGGACTGGACACTCTAAGCTCATATCTAGCTTCTAATAATAAAGTAATGATGTCTGCAATTTTATTCACCAAGATGTTTTCTTCACATCATCCTAAACTGAGAGTATAACTTTATTTTAGAAAAGACAGATCTTTAAAACAGAAATTTTAGAAAACGTAACAAAAGTGACATTGTAAACATAAAATTTACTCTGCTTTTTAGCCAACACTGACCTTCTGTTCCAAAAGCAATGTGTTGGTAGGGATTGCTGCAAAAGCCTTGTAGCTTGAACTGGTCTTGTATTGCTAGAATGGGTAACCAGAAAGCAAGAGTGGAGATGAAAAGAGGAAAGAACATGACATAATTTTAGAGTAGTTCTACCAGGTTAAATGACAAGTTATCAAAGAAAACAGTTATTATGCTTGACCAACGTGATATTGACAGAAAAAAAATTAGCTCTCCATGTTAATATTTCATTTGAATGAGAAGCAATGAACTATCAGAGCAGTAAAATATCAGCCTAGGGATTATAGACAATTTTATGATATATGGCTTCGGAATTCAAACATATCACTCTCTAGAAAGTTATATATAAATTTCTCATTAGTAGCATTTCCTCATAGGAGTGTTATTCTTTCAATGTGATGGCTGCTTTTTATTTATTTTTTGTTGTTGTTTTGATTCTCAAAGAAAAGTATTTTTCATAGTGCCATATTAACAAATATTATGCCAATAAATTATAGTGAACTACTGATATATTCTCTTATATCATTTATAAAAACAAAGATCAGAATATATAAAATTTAGTAGCAGTTTAATTAGCAGCATATTTTGAATAGAAATAGTTTAATCAATTTAACTCTAAAACGGAAAAACTAGAAAGCTCTTGATCTTAAATTTTTTAGACCTTATCATCTCCTGTATTTTCTAACATAGTAATGTTAATGAATCAAATGATAAAATGTTCTGAGTTTTAAGTACAACTCAGTATAAGTTTTGTTTTGTGTAGTGTTGGGAGGAGAAGGCTGAACATGAGGAAGTTGTAGGAATCAAGATAATATTCATAATCAAAAGCCCAGCTTTGATACCACTCTGGATTCCAAGCTGCTTAATTAAGTTCAAGGCTCCTATCATTTCAGAACCCCCTATCTCAGGCAGCTTACCCAGAGACTTGGAGGCAAGGGGAAATCTGCACACAGCTCCACGTTGTCTCAGTCCACTAAAAAGCATACTAAACCATCTACATAAGAAGACAGGGCAATCAAGTAAAATAAATCCTTGAGTTTTATGGATATAATTGAAATAACCTTCATTAAACTGGAGCAATGAAGGTAAGAGAAATCAAAATTCCAGACCTAAAAGAAGTCTCAGGCCCCTTTTAAGCCCTAAGTCTCTATATTCACTCTGAACTGCTATGGCCTCCAGAAAATAATTTATTTGGATGAAAAAAAGCAAAATGAAATGTCATCTCTTCATGGGGACTAACAACTGACTTTTATTACTGGGAAAGTTTATATATATTGCGTCACTTAATGTCCCACAAGACTATAACTAAAGAGTCATTAGGAAAAGGAGACATGGTGAGGTCAGGTGTAGTCTAGTCTAAGACTAACTAGCCCATAAAAAATAAGAAACAGGTTTGACATCCAGGCTTGCCTGGATCCAATAGCCATCCTTTTTCTATAATATAACACATTCTCCAAAAAAATATCTGAAGACAAATATTATAAAATAAAATATACATTAATACTCCATCATGATTTTATTCTATTTAATTATAATAGCTGGAATGATAATAATAGCTAGCAATCACTATGAGCCAGGTATAATTCTAAAAGCTTTTTGTGTATTACCTCATTTTATTATTATAGAAAACCTACTAAGCAGATACTATATTATATCCATTTGATATATGAAAACTGAAGTGCAAGAATGCTAAATAACTTATGTAAGGCCACTAGCTAGTAAGTCACAGCTGGGATCTGGGTGCAGACACTCCAGCTCAACAACAGTGCACTTATCTACCATATTCTCTTGCCTATCATTTCAGGAAGCATAATCATTTATAACATTTGTCCTCCTGTCTTCAACTGCTCTAAAGATTATAGAGGAGAAATCTGTACAGAGATGTATCTTGTTAATGCACATATTATGCCATAGAATCTTGGATTCAAAAGTGATGTTGAAGGCCATCTGGTTTAACGCCCCCATCAGACATAAATCTCTCTGATCCTCTAGTCTGCCACCACATGAAGAATTATCTACCTCCTAGGCAACACATTTAGCATAATTGTTAGAATTGGTGCAAAATTCTTCCTTATATTGAGCCAAAATACAGTACAACCATTCCATTGTTCCTGTTTCTCTCCTCTTCGAATCATGTGCCTTCTAAGAGCTCTCTTAGACATGAGAGTTATACTGCTATTCCTATCAACTCCTCTTTATCAATCCTTAACTGATGAATTTCACTGTTCTCATTATTTTGCTCTGTTGATATTTCTTTAAATTTTGAAAAGCCATGTGTCTAACTAGATGTGTTTTTTTTTAACACAAAGTAGAATATAATTATCACCTCCATGATTTGACAATAAATTCAACTAACACAATGAAGATTATAATAATTAAAATTGTCTCCTCCTTTTTGTGGCGAGTTTAGAAAGTACAGGAGAGTGAAGTTGGAGTTAGTTCATATTGTTGGATCATAAGAAGCATGAAGCGGAGAAGGCCATATGAGGCCAAAGGCAGAGATGGGAGTTATGCAGCCAGCAGCCAAAGAGAGCAGGAGCCCCAGAAGTTGGAAGAGACAAGGATGGGAGACAAGGACAAGAGAGTGCAGCCCTGCTGACACCTTGACTTTGGATTTCTGGCTCCCAGAACTTCACAGTGGCCTAAAATCTCTAATCCTTTTATTTTTTTTAAACATTTGTTGAAATCAAACTCCATTCTGTAGGTATGCTTTTTCTCTAGATCCAAAAATAGTACTTTAGGCATTACGTCTATCCAATTTCATCTGACTAGATTTGGGTTGTCACTATAAACTATGAAGATAAAAATTTTTATATTATTTCATGAACTGTTTGTTAGGCATGTCATTTGTATTTTCATTCAAGTCATATATGAGTAATAAAGAGCTCTTGCCTACTGGGTTCTGCCATCCATCAATCCTATAAATACATTTAGATATCGCAGTTCAATTCATGAATTCATTCTACAAAATACTATTGTGTATTTTGTGATATGCATTGCTCTAAGTACAGTGAACAAGACTTTACTCTCTAGAGCTTGCATCCTTGTGAATAGGGACAAACTTTAAACAAATAAGAAAGCAAAGGACAAGTTTCAGAAAGACAATAATATGCAGAAATGTGAAATAAATTAATGGATTAGAGAGTGACCTTGAGGATGCTTTGAATTGAGCACTTGGAATAAATGTGAGTTCACAGAAACAAGTTATTACACTCACATATCTCTTTTTGTTCTTGATATAGTGAAAGATATCACAAAACATGGAGGGCATTCAATAAATAAAGGTCTGTTGTTTGAAAAACCTGTCTCACTTCCTGTTATAATTGTTGTTGTAAACATTCATAAACTAAGAATATAGGTTATAATTTTCAGAAATTATCTTCCATTTTTCTGGAAAAATGGAACATATGGATTGTCTTTTTTCCCTGGCAAATCTCTTATTTCCTATTAGTTACAACAGTTTTGCAATAGAAGTAGAAATGTCATCTGTTTTCAGACACAATTTATCTAGACCAGGAAATATGAACTTACTCAGAACTAGGCAATCTTTCTAGTTCCTCATCTATCTTAGGCTTTATGCATTTCTAAGACATATATAGCTTTTTCTCTTCAGTCTGAAAATCATTCTTGTTGCCATAAGAGATATGTTTTAGCTTCACTATATTTCCTCTGGGTTCTTTTAACAACATTCTAATTTGGAACATATTTCTTTCTCAGCATTCTAAGGCTTCCAGGTATTAAACCAGAATCATTTCTTTTCCTTCCTTTGTTTAAAATTAGAAATCACTCTAGTCAAGGTAATTATAACTTGAATAATAGACTGTCATATTGCAGGTTGGAATCACCTTCAGCAAATCACAGAAGGTAGACCTGACCAGCCTGACCTTGAATTTAGCCAAATAATTATTGATACTTAATTGTATCCTTCCAATTTTTAATCTATGCTTTTAGTCTATATTCAATAACTATGTCTTAAATATCCACTACATGACAGTTACACTGCAAAGTTTACATTTAGAAAAAGAAATTGAGTTTTAAGATATAAGTTTATCAGAATTAATCCTATTTATAGACAATCCTGGATATTATAATATAAATCTTGGATATGAGGATGGGGATAGCAAGAGCATATCCTTCTCTTTCAGAAAATATTCCCCACCCATCTCCTATCCCTTGTTGCCTAAATTTCCACACCAGACTTTAGTTATAAAGACCCAGAAGATCTCAAAGTGAAATATATTAGTTGCCTAAAGAATCGGGGATTTACTTTACGTAAAGGTGACGAGCAGAACCTCAGGTTACATAAATGACAAATGAGAATTCTAGTGAAGAGACTGCCTTTCATTATGGCCAACTTTTCTTGCCAGAAGCATCGATGAGCAAAGATGAGAGCATCACTCTACACATATACTTCCTGCTCTTCAATGACATGCCTGCACTGAGTCACTCTCCTTCAGATGAAAGCTCAACTGAGATCCTGATACAATTCACAGAAGAGGTTGCCAGACATCTCCCTTACATCTGGATCACTGGCAGAGCACAAGCTCTATAATGATTTTATAAAGGAAGTGGAGGAGTAGGAGAGGGAGAGGTGACAGTAGTAACTACTAAGAAAATTTCCCAGACTTTTTCCCCAGGGTCCCTCTCCATGGCTGATTTATCCTTTTGTGCTTCTAGCACTCTAAATGTATACTTATTTCATTGTATTATAATATTTTTGCCATCCCTGTAACATCTTTTAGGGGAGAATTTCATATTATTTCCAACATCTAATATCATCCTGGCAAGAACAGATAACTCAGCAAATATTTGACTAAAATTAAAGTATTTAATTGAAAATTATGCTGATTCAGGGGATATAAAAACCCAAAATTAAAGTTCCTCTTCTTCAGTCCAAGTCTTAGATGTTGGAAACTCTTTCCCTATTCAAGCATGCCTTGGAGACATTTCCAATGCATTAAGTTCCTAAAGTCACTTTCCTTCAATGATCTGAACTTTCAGGTTTGAATCCATGACCTTGAATCTCCATTGTTGTTTTTTAAGTAAATTGCGCTACTAT